CAGGAACCTGGAAAGTGGTTGAAAAGAAATTTAACTTTGATTTTTAATTTTATGAAATTATTTTTAGATATGTGAATCGTGTTTTAATGATCGCATAAAAATTTAGGAAACCGAAAGACCGCTAGTATGTGCTGTAGAAAGTTCAGTGTTTCGAACATCGATTCGGGTGAGAATCCTCATCATTTTCTCCGTTACGGTAAATTAAGGCTTAAAAATTAATAATTGTGTAGCACCCGGAAAGGAGGGAAAAAAAAAGCCACGTCAGCAGGCCCGGCCAACCAGGACGTGCCACGTGGCAATACCACGTCGTTCCAAAAAGGGCCACGTTGGCAATCCGCGTGGGCGCGATTGGACGGCCCAGATCAAGCGGACGATCGGACGGTCCAGATTTAATCGCACGGACGGCCCAGATTTAATCAAAAACGGACGGCCCAGATTAAATCAAAATGGACGGCTGAGATCAAAGGGCAAGGTGTTATAAATAGAACCCCCACACCAGACCACAAACCCTAGCCGCCTGCCGCTCGCCGGAGAAGACGAACCAGAAGCCGACCGCCGCCACCCGCCGCCGTACCGGATGAACTTCCGACCGCCGATCGAGGTAAATTTCGTACCCCCCGACTCGTTTTTCCATGCTGATTCCTCCTGTGGCCAAATCGGAGCCAAAATCCCGGCCAAACGGCCGGAATACACGGCCGAAGCCCAGCGGCGCCGCCGCGCCCCTTCTCAGTTTTTACCTCCGATGAGGCCCTTCCCGGCCTCCGTTTGATGCAATTTTTAGATCACCGTGATCACTACTCTTTTCTCTACAGGTTGACCGGAGCCGAATCACCAAAACACGAACCTCGCCGGAGAGCCGCCGCACCCAAGAGCGCCGCCGCCGGTAAGCTCCGTTTTTCCGTGATTTTTTTGGTCCCCTGAGGGCCCTAGGGTTGTTTTCTCACAGGGACCGATGTGAGTGTGGCCGAAAACAGCCAACCCGAGGTGACTCGCTGCCGCCAGCGGCGGGGCCGTTGCTGGAGCACGGCGGAGCCGCCGTGCCGGAGTTGCGATTTGGGCCGAAAGGGGCCCTGGGCCTAATTTGAGATTTTTTTTGAAACACGTGCAGGTACCAGTAGTGCGTTTCAGTTCCCCGAGAAAAATTCAGGGAAAATTAGGGACAGCCTGTAGGCGCACTGTGAAGCCGTGTTCGGACCCCGAAACGAGTAAGGACCCCTCACCCTATTTCCTATCACGGTATTAAAGCTTAATAAATAATTAAACAGTATTTTGAGACCTTATAGA